GGATTTTTTGAATTTCTAAGGGGTCTGTTGTTATTTCATCTTTACCATTTCTGATTGATGAGATTAGAGATTTTACTCTTTTTTTCTTGGTTAGGTTGGCCAAAGGTTTATCTATTTTATTGACCTTTTCAAAAAACCAACTTTTTGATTTAACAATCTGTTGTATAATCCTTTTGTTTTCAATTTCATGTAGTTCTGCTGTAATTTTGGTTATTTCGTTTCTACTGCTGGGTTTGGGATTGCAATGTTCTTCCTTTTCCAGTTGCTTGAGATGTCCCATTAAGTTGTTAACTTCCTCTCTTTCCATTCTCCTGAGGAAGGCTTGCATTGCTATAAATTTCCCTCTTAAGACTGCCTTAGTGATATCCCAGAGGTTCTGATAATTCATGTCTTCATTATTGTTTTGTTCTAAAAATTTGATAATTTCCTTCTTGATCTCATCTCTGACCCCCCTATCATTCAGCATAAGCTTATTTAGCTTCTGTGTTTTTGTATGAGTCTGCAGATTCCTGTAGTTACTGAGTTTAACTTTTATTCCATGATAGTCTGAGAAGATGCAAGGAATAATTTCTATTCTTTTAAATTTGCTGAGGTTAGACTTGTGACCTAAGATGTGATCAATTTTGGAGTATGTTTCGTGGATTGATGAGAAAATTATGTGTTCAGTTTTGTTAAGATGAAATGTTCTGTAGATGTCTATTAAGTCCAAATGTGGGATGGTTAAGTGTAAATCTAAATTCTTTGCTCAGCTTCTTATCAGAGAATCTATCCAACACTGCCAAAGGAGTATTGAAATCTCCGACTATGATGGAGCTGGAAGAAATCAAGTTGCTCATGCCTGTTAGAGTGTCTCTTATAAATTGAGGTACACTCTGGTTGGGTGCATAAATATTAATAATTGAAATCTTATCATATTGAGTATTACCCTTAACAAATATAAAGTGACCATCCTTATCCTTGCTTACTTTTGTTGGTTTAAAGCCTGTTGTGTCTGCGAATAAAATAGCAATACCTGCTTTTTTCTGCTTTCCATTTGCCTGGAATATAGATGACCATCCCTGCACCCTGAGTCTATATTTATCTTTTAAGGTAAGATGAGATTCTTGTATGCAACAAATATCTGGCCTGAGTTTTTGTATCCAGTCAGTCAACCTGTGCCTCCTTAGAGTACAATTTAAGCCATTCACATTAATGGAGAATATTGATAAGCCCGGTAAAATTTTGGGTATCCTTTTTTTGAAAGTCCAGTAGTCATTTTTAATCCTTTTGCCACTGTGGAAGTTGGAATTTGATCAAAAGTTTTTGAGTGAGTTTACATTTGTGGTGGAGGATTGCACTGATCATTATGGAGGATAGGTCTGAGAATATCCTGGAGAATTGGTTTAGTTATGGCAAATTTCTTGAACATGTGAATGTCATTTAAATATTTAATTTCTCCATCATAGATGAAACTCAATTTAGCTGGATACAGGATCTTGAGTTGAAAGTTATTTTGTTTTAGGAGATTAAAAGTCGATGACCACCCTCTTCTAGCCTGAAAGATTTCAGAAGAGAAATGTGCAGTCATTGTAATATTCTTCCCCTAGTAGTTTATTGTTTTCTTCAGTCTGGGTGCTTTTAGTTTTTTCTTTTTCATATTAACTTTATTGAAGTTAATTATGATGCACCTGAGGGATGTCTTATTCGGATTGAGTTGTGCTGGGGTTCTGAAACTGTCTGCTATCTGAATTTCAGTATCTCTTGGCATATCTGGAAAATTGTCTTTCATAATTTCATGAAGAAGGGCCTTTGTGTTTTGTGAAGCAACTTCGTCACCTTCAAGGATTCCTATAAGGCAAATATTAGTTTTCTTCGAATTATCTCAGAGTTCTGTGAGAGAATGATCCATTTTTGCTTGCCATTTCTCTTCCTCTTTGAGTGCTTGGGCACGTTGAAAAGCTTTGTCTTCAATGTCAGAGATCCTGTCTTCTGCCTGCTCCATTCTGTTACCGAGGGATTCTACTGTATTTTTCTTTGAGTGGTGCAAGGTCTTGCCTCAATGTGTCAAAATCTTTGGTCATTTTATCTGTGAAATTGTTGAATTCTTGAGATATCGTTTGAGTAATTCCTTGAAATTCTATTTCCCTCCTTTCCTCCATTCTGTTGATCTTATTTGCTATCCAGACTCTGAAATCAATTTCTGACATCCCAGATGTATGGGATATTCAGTTGCATCTGCCATATCCTTCCTTGGGGGGGGAGGGTTGCTCTACTCTGGTTATTCATGTTACTGGAGTTTTTCCATTGATTTTCCCTGCTTAATTTACACCATTTGGCTAGATGAACAACTAAGGAGAAGTTGGTTTGGGGTTCCAGGAGTAGTGATTAACTAGCCCTTTCCCCAGCGTCTAGGTCTGGTGTCTGTACCTTTTCTCCTAGAGCTTTGCCAAGGACCCGTACAGTGCTATAGCCTGAGAAACTGGGCGCCTCCTTGGTTTGGTGGGGCTAAATTGTTCTGTCTTGTTTTCAGCTGGTCTCTGTTCTATCCTAGTAAATCACTTACTCTGGCCTGAAGTCTCAGCTGTGGAGAAATACTAGCAATTAAGTCACCCCATCCCTCACAGGCAACAATTGGAAAAGGAAAATCACACCTTCCCACAATCACACACCCAGGGTACCACTTTGGATAGTCCTCAGGTGGTTGGCCTAATTCAAGAGGTCCAAAGCAATTGTCCCAGTCATCACTCTTCTCAGGTGGGAGAGTTCAAAAGGACTCTGGCAACTAGATAGCAGAGGTCTGCTGGCAGCTTAGGTATGACTCGTTCAGGTGCTCCTTGAATTCAGAAGGACCAACCCAGCAAATAAATTAGTCTATAAAGGTTGATTGCTCCTTCCCACCTTGAACCTCTATCACACCCAGTCACTGGTAACCCCACAGGGCTTTGACCCAGTTCCCCCCAATCAGCAGATGCCCCAGGGGTTTACCCCTGCCTGAGTCAGAGGGAGATCTATGTCTCCCCAGCCAGGCTGCTGTTCTCTGCCACTATCTGGCAGAGGGAGGTAAGGTCTGACAACCTTGACTGCTTAGTGGAGGCTGGGATGGTTCACTCAGTTCCAGCCCTGCCCTGATTGATATTGATGGCTGAAAAGTACAACTTAGCAGAGTTTGTTTGTGTCCATGACAGAAACCACAACTCAGTTCCGGGCAGCAGCAAGCAGTTAGAGCTCATACTGAGCTGTCAGTTCCAGCCTCTGCCTGCCTGCCTTTGTCTCAGCTATGATCCCCTGATGGCCACGTGTTTCTTAGCCTCAGTAAAACAGTCCTCTGGCTCATCCCTGCCTTGGGAGTCTGCCGGCTCTATGCACGGTATTCTAGTTCCTGCGCTCCCTTTACTCATGTCCCAGATTCATCCATCAGTGGCTGCCACCAGAGAAGGTGCCCAGCCTCCTTCGGTTGCCTAGAGAGACAGGGCATGTCTGTCCAGGAAAGCCTCAGGGGCGTGAGCCTTACTGGTCCCACCACTGCTGCTGTTCTGTGCCTGGGGGCAGTGCCACCTCTCCTGTATATTTTCCTCTCAGCTGACCATCCTCTCCTTACTCCTGTGCCACAAAATCAGCACAGACGAGCAAGGGCCCTTCCCCTGTCCACACCTCTCAAGAAAATGCCCAAGAATCTGGACTTCATGGCAGAAAGACTTCCAGACCTCGGGGTGAGAGTGGAGGGGAGTGCTGGAAGTTCAGAGTTTCAGGTAGAGAATATATACAGTTTTATACACTTTTATGCTTGGCAAGAGAGTGCCTTGGCACCCTAGGACGGGTAGGAGGTCCAGTTTTTAGAGAGTTTCTCCTGTGGGTTGGAATGGGAGGACATGTCAACTCTGCTTACTTGTTTGTATGGAGTTTACTGCGAGCCCTTCTCATGGTGGAGGGGACTCCCATCTGTTTGGTGATGGATTTAGTACCTTTTGTTTGTATCTTTGGGGTCGCATCCCGCCTCAGCAGGGTTGATGTGTGTTTTTCAACCTTCTCTCTTGGCTCAGCTCCAAACCATCGGCTTCCATGGTAAACTTCTGTCTTTTAACTCTCCTTCTGGATGGGAGCCTCTATGGAAAGCTGGCTACAGTCCGCCATCTTGCATCTGCCCCACATCACATATTTTTTAATGTTACTTAAGAGAATGCAATAAAATTTAGTTCTTAGTTCTTATCAGCAAGTAATGAGAGCAATAATCTTTTTTTTTGTGTGTGTATTTATTTCGTATTTGTATTCTCTATGCATAGGGGTCTTTATTAAATGATAGCTGTGTACATTAATGCAATCATGGGGTACAGTGTGGTGTTTTCAGGAATAATCTTGTTGGGTGTCATGACTGGTGACTCACATCTGTAATCCCAGTACTCTGGCAGGCTGAGGTAGGAGGATTGTTTGCGCTCAGAATTTCAAGACTAATCTGAGAAAGAGTGAAAGTTGTTTCTGCTAAAAGCAGAAAAATTAGCTAGGTGTTGAGGTAGGTGCCGAGGTAGGTGCCTGTAGTCCCAGCTACTTTGGAGGTTGAGGCAGGTGATCACTTGAGCCCAGGAGTTTGAGGTTGCAATGAGCTATGATGATGCCCCAGCACTCTACCTAGAGTGACAGAGTGAGACAATGTCTCAAGAAAAACTCCAAACAAGTATAAAGAAATTCTATGAAAGTGCCTAATTCAAACTACAAATATATAAGTCACTATAGAGAAAGAAATAACATAAACATTATTGAAAAATTTTAATATTGTATTTTCAGTAAAAGTATATGTCATGCTCCATCAAAGGAGCCCACATGTGTTATGTGTAACTCAACGACTGCGAAATGCTGAACTGATAGATCCATCATTCCAATGGCATGGACCAAAAGGAAAAATTATTTCAGGTAGGATTTTGTTTTAATATTGCAATTAAATATATATATCTACTCAGAACAAATAACACATTTGTATCTTGCACATTCATTCACTTCTTTAATTATTTTTCTTATGTTTACCCTTTGCTGTAAAGTAGATGGTGTACCCTTCTTCATGTATTTTAATTTGATATAAAGATGTACTAGAATATTGAACTTTTTGGAGATTTCTCTAAGTACCTATGTTCCAAAAGAATTTAATGTTTTTCTACATAGAAATTACTATTTTTTGTGATTGATTTCTTTTTAACCACAAAATTTTTATTTTTTATTTTATTTTTTTATTAAATCATAGCTGTGTACATTAATACTGTCATGGGGTACAGTGTGCTGTTTTTAAATACAATTTGAAATATTTTCATCAAACTGGTTAACATAGCCTTCATGTCATTTTCTTAGTTATTTAGTTATTGTTTTAAGACATTTATATTCTACATTTAGAAAGATTGACATGTACCCTTATAAGATGAACTATAGGCATGATCCCACCAATCACCCTCCCTCTACCCATCCTCCTCCCTCCCCTCCCTCTCCCCTTTCCCCATATTCTTGGGCTATAATTGGGTTATAGCTTTCCTATGAAAGCTATGAATTAGTTTCATAGTAGGGCTGAGTACATTGGATACTTTTTCTTCCATTCTTGAGATACTTTGCTAAGAAAAATATTTTCCAGCTCCATCCTTGCAAACATGAAGAAGGTAAAGTCTCCATCTTTCTTTAGGGCTGCATAATATTCCCTGGTGTACATATGGAATCAGAAAAAACATTGAATAGCCAAGATGTTACTCAGAAATAAAAACAAAGCAGGAGGAATCACGCTACCAGACATCAGATTATGATTGATTTAATCAACAATTTTTCTCTATTCAACTTATTTTGTTGTTTTGAAATACATATTTTACTTTTATTCTAAATTTCTAATTTCATACAAACTGGTTTACTTTAACACTGTAGTTTAAAAAACATAAATCAGCTTTTTGTTTGTAGCCTTACTGAAAATATAGATTAATGAATTTTCACCCTGAAGATTTGTTCAATGAGGTACCTGATTGTTTTTTCATACCCTCATATAAAGTTTTTCTTTATTGCTGTATTTGCCACATTTTCTTTCTTTTTTAAAAATCTTATAGTATTTGACATAGTGCTTTTGGATAAAACCAACAGGTTTACTTTATTGTCCTTAATCAAGGAAAGAAGTATATTTATACAAAGACTTTCTAAAGAAACATAGGCAATATTTATTTTGTAATATGTTTCAGTTCACATGTTTATATAGTTGAGAAATCTCAACTACTGGAGGATGCCATTGTGCTAGATTTTGTAGGAGATAAACACATCACATATAACCTCTATCTTACTACAAAAATGTAGTGGGAATGATGGTGCCTATGTGATCATGGAATCAGCCTGACTGAGTAACAGAAATCCTTGACGGTTATGTAGCTACCATACCTTGCCATGTATAATGAGTACTTTTTTGCCAAATTTTTGAGGGAAAAATAAAGATGCACATTGTACATGAGTAGTACAGTTTGGGAGTAGGAGAGCCCAGTTGACCTCTGGGGTTGCTTTACCCTCTCACCTGGGCCTGTGGGGTTCCAGTCTAGGAGGATCTGGGATCTGGTGGGATCAGGCGGAGTGGTCAATATCAAGTGCTGTATTCATGGGAGGGCAGTGATAGTAGCACTGGCAAAGTGGGCTGCATGGAGGGGATCAGGAACCCTGCACAAGCCCAAGAGACCCACTTAATGGGCCTCAGAAGCTCCCACCCCACCCGCCATGTGCATAGCCACCTTGGCCATGGCCCCCCATGTGGCAGGGAAGAAAGGGCTCCCAGGAGAAGGAAGAATCAGGCTTCACAGAGTGGATGGTGGTGGGAGGGTGGCGCAACCTTCACATTTACAAAGGTGGTATTAGTCCTCCCCAGATGTGTCTGTCCTGGTGGAGAACTGGCCCCTTTTTTGAGGGTGTGTTTTCCTGAAAGTTTGTGCCAGAATCACAGTTGTACATTATATACAGGAGCACACTTTACACAGTAAAATACTACCAGTAATATAAATTAGTGAAGTAATCTAGCTGAAAAAGCACCCAGTGCTAAAATATTATCAAGTTTTATTTTTATTGCTCTCTGATAGTAGCATATAATGTAATACAAACATGTACATTTGATACTGAAATTTTGTAAGCTGAAACATAGAAACATTTAAGTATTGAATTTTTCTATTCTCATTTGCTGCTCCTTTGATTTGGCAATTGACATTTAAAATCTTTTCTTATTTAAGATGACATACCAGGTCTTGCGGTTGACAATGCAAAGTATAGTATATAATTCACCGTAGTCTTTAAGGAGGAGCAATATTTTACTTACCTTTACAGTGGAAAAGCAGGTATTTAGAGTTGTAGATATTTCTGGGTAAGGGTAAGATTGTATTAATGTACTAGTTTTGACTTTTATCAAAACTATTCCCTGGGAATTTTGCTGTTCTAACTTTGTGATTTTATTTTATTTTTCAATGCTGTAGCACATCATAATTTACTGCCTACCAGTTTTAAAACTTATTAATCACGCTGTCATTTTTAAAGTTTTAAAAAACATAGAGGCTTTTTTTTTGCCTCTAACTTAAACTACCCTACATTTAAGTTATCATTTTATGAGTATTCCAAAGATAATTTCTCTGAAATTGTGCCCAAGACCTCATGTAGTTATGTAATTACTTGCACACATTTCCTTGGAATAAATTATTCAGATTGTTTAGATACATTGTGAGGCATAGGGGAGAAATCTTAAAATTAGTATCTCCTTTTCTCTGTTTTTTTTAATTCAGTAATTTTAATTTTCAAAGGTAATACATTTATCAAAAGTTTATACTTCCCTCTCTAATATTATTCTGATGAATTAACTTGTTATATACAAATGTGTATAAGATAAATGCAGGTTATAAAGCACAGTAAGACAAATATCCTTAGTATTCAGGTTAAGATAGGCTAATACCAAGACTATTAGACCTCCCAATAAGCTGTTCTAAAATCTTATTTATTTCTTCCTCCCCCCCAAATAAAAACACTACTACCCTGAACTTTTACCATGTTTATTTCTTTGCTTTTCTTTATGCACTTACACCTCCCCATGCACAATTCTTTATGTATTCTATACGTGTATATTTTAGTTTTATTTTGAATTTTTTTTTAACAGTTTTTTCCTCTTCCCACCTTTGTTGAGGTATAACTGACAAAAATGTGTATATTTAAGGTATACAATGTTATATTTTGACACAGATACACAGTATGATATAAGTGGCACATTAAAGTATTAACTTATCAGTTGCCTTACATAGTATCCATTTTTTGTTGTTGTTGTGATGAGAAGTACTTAGATCTATTCTCTTAGCAGATTTCAAGTATATAGTACATTACTGTTACCTACATTCATTATGCTATGCATTAGGTCTCCAGAATTTATATATCTTAGAATTAAAAGTTTGTACACTTGTAACCCTTGCACCAATAACTCCCCAGTTCCCTTATTGCACAATGCCTGGTAACTATCATTCTCTGTTTGTATTAGTTTTATTTTTTTAGATTCTACATGCATATGTTTTTCTGACTTTCAGTATCTGCCTTATTTCATTTAGTATAATTATTTTTATACAAATAGTAATAAAAACATGTAGTATTTACCATGTGGCAAATACTGTTCTAAACAGAATACATACTAATCATTTAATCTTCACAACTCCTCTTTGTAGTAAATACAGCCATTTCATTCATTTCACATATGAGAAAACAAAGGCATCAAGATAGCAAGAGAATAAGGTACTTTCCTAAGATCATATGTCTTTGAAATATGACTTGAGAGTGACTAGTTATAATTTTGAGATAGGAACACATTATTTTGTGAGTTAGATATAATTTTGAGGTAGGAACACATTATTTTGTGAGTTTTTGTAGTTTGTGTCTTTCAAGGATTTTCTCCTACTTGCTGGATTTTTCAGCTTGTCAAGTTTGTAAAGTAGTTTGTAATACTTTTTAATGATATGCCCTCATTCACTCTGAGGTTGGTTGTGTTTCCTCTGTTTTCATTCCCTCTGGTTATGTGTTCAACCATTTTATCACTCTTCTCTAAGAACCAGCTTTTGGGTTCATTGATTTTTCTTTCTATTATTTTTCTGTCATCAAAATATTGGTTTCTGCTTTATTTTTATTATTTCCTTTCTTTTGATTGCTTTGGGTTTAATTTGCTTGGGTTTTTCTTTTGCTGATTATAGAACTTTGGGTTGATAGTATTTTTTCTTTCAACATTCTAAAGATAGAATTCTATTTTTTGTTTTTTTGTTATTGTTCTTTGTTTTGTTTTGTTTGCTTGAATCCTAGACAATTTCTAATGAGAAGTCTGCTGAAATCCTTACCTTTGTCTTTTTCTGGGTACATATGCCAATTTTTCTGATTTTCTGATTAAGATTTTCTCTTTGCTTTTCTCTTTTTAGGATTTTGAATATTATGTTTATCTCTTTTGTTGAGTTTTTGTATTCATTCTGCTTGGTATTCTCCAAGCTTCTTCGAGCTGGAGTTTGGTGTCTGTCATTTTTGGGGGGAAATTCTTGGGTATTATGACTGCAAATATTTCTTTGGCTTTATTCTATCTCTCCTCTTCTTTTGACATTCCCAACACAGTTACATTAACACTGTTTGATACCATTCCACAGCTCTTGAATTCCTTTCACGTTTCTCCTTTTTCCCTCCCTCATCTGCTCTTTCTTTTCCCTCCTTCTCCTTTCTCTTCTTTACTATGCATTTTACCTTCTTCTTTGTTTTAGGCTAGTTTCCTTTATCCTATTTTCAAGTATATTTATTCTTTTCTTGGTTATGTCAGCCTGTTTATGAGCACATTGAAGAAATACTGTATGTTATTATAATTTTTTTATTTTTCTTGTTTTTGTCTTTAATTCTAGTGTTTTCATTTGCATATTACT